GTTTTACTGTACTTTTGATCATGACAGGTGAGTTGCGAAGCAAAAAATAAAAACAAACCTGTGTGTGTGCTTTATTTCTTCTTTATGATGTATAAAGATGAGTTCATTTGTTAGTCTTCTTTGGGTGTATTGTAACACTCTAGTCGTAACATATATGTTCCTCTTCTGGAGAATTCTGTCAGTCTTTGGAAGACTTCACTTGGAATGTGATTTCACATCTGGAGGTTTAAATCTGAGCCTTGATTCTATTTACCATGCCCACTTCAATGGAGAGGGAGAAAAAATTGAGAATGCTGCAGCTCAGGTTTCAGATACTCACCTTTAAGCTCATGGATTGGGTCTTCCAAAGCCCATCCTCTAGGATAGGCGTGGGGAACCTTTTTTGGGTCATGGGCCACTGACCCACAGAAAAATCAGTCAGGGGCTGCTCACAAGTGAGAAACAAAAACAAAAAAACCCCAACCCCTCACCAGCATGGGCTCCCCAATACTGGTGGGAACCCAGAGTCTTAGGGGCTGGATACAGGCAAGCCAGGGGCTGCATCCGGTCCCCAAGCCTTAGGTTCCCACCCCTGCTCTAGGAAAAACCAAACCAACCCTAGACATTTCTAATGTAAAAGGAAGCAGGAAGAACTCCATCTCTTTGTATAAATGAGCAGTAAAGGATAAAAAAAATAGTTTTTTTATTTTATTTGCTGTGCATTTCATTTTGAATCACTCCTATGATAATTTAATCCCCAGTGTGACTGTGTGACTCATTGCCTACAGTTCTAGACTACTGCATCTGTTAGGATTCTGAATCTGAAATGTAGTGTCCCCAATGCATATTTTCATTATTCTGTAACTCCCATTGGAGTACAAGAACAGAGCTATAAAATATAACTCTGTTAATACTAAAGTAGTGATGTTAGTAGTAATAATTTTTAAAAATCTAGGCTTTTTATATTTTAAGATAAAAAAATACTTCAATGGAGAAACATTTAAAATGTTTTGAGCTTGCCCAATGCATCAAAAAAGGTGAGGAGGAATAATAATGTTATTATGGCTCTCAGATAGGAATTCTCATTTTGGAATGTAACCGTTTCTGTTCCTCCTCTGCTATGTTCTTTTATTTTGGGCCCGTTACACTCATTTTAAAAGCCATGGCCCAGTCCTGCAAACAAATGGGTCTCCTTGTGGGAGTGATTTGCAGGATTGGGTCCTAAATCTGTCCTATTACTTGTCTTTTGTTTCAACAATGAAGTCAGATAATGACTGCTTCCGTAAACAGAATGGGGCTGGCTACAGAACTTAAACAATGGATTGCTCTTAGATGATTGTACAGAATGGGATTCATAAGTGAATATTGATCTAAAGCAGCTGGAGTAAGATGTAGGGGAAGGGGCAGTCTTACATTAGTTATAGTCTGGCAGATTTTTGTGTGGGTGGCTTCATTTTTATATTTTGTTCAGTGTAAAAATGTAGCAATAATGTTTCCTTAGTCAAATTTTATGCAAATGTGCATGCGTGTATAATAAATAATGTAGCTGTCATGTAGAAAAGCAATTTAACTGGCCTCCAGGAATTTTATTTATATGCAGTGAAATCACTAAAGACATACATGCCTGCTTACCATAATTAAAGAAAGTAGAATAATCTTGGAAGCATCTCATATGGATGTTTTCTTTGCTTTAGTTCACTTATCTGTTTATAATTATAGTATTTTTCATTTAATCCTACTGTTTTGGCTTTTGGCAGGAACATCATTCCCAATGTGTTCTCACTGGGTTTCCTAAATCACTTCATGAAACAATGATAAAATGAAACCAGGAAAGTTTTACAGTCAAATGTGCTTGCAAAAGAAATTGCAGAACTGAGCTGAAATAAATAATTAGATGATATCTGTGAGCTGGATGGCTAGATGAGGAACAGATTCATTCCTCTGCAAGAGGAGATCTGAAACCTTGTGGCCCAATTTGCTACTTTCCATTTATCATGCATAAAATGTTTCATGATTTGTTATTTTATGTGGATTTATTGTCAGGAAACTATTGTCTGCCTGGAACAGTTCACAGAATAGCCCATTTCTGAACTGTTTTAATAGGATTGTTGCGAGAGGAATGAGTGATCAAACCTGGCAGTATTTTAGGAATGAATCTTAAAATTTGCAGTCTCTAAAAATATTCTCAGCTCTTCACTAAGGGTTAGGTAAAAAGTGTCAGATTAGGAGCACTGCTGGATGCCTGAAGAGAGCTAGTGCTGACATGAGGGTTTAGTGTACTTGGCCAAATCTTTATCCCACTGACAAAACTCCCATTTACTAGACCAACATTTGGTCCAGGGACATGAGACTCTTTTTGGAACAGATGAGAGCATATGCAGATGAGCTGCACTGTGTCATAACAGGATGGGCAACAGTGCAATGCCTGAGAGAACAGAAATCAGGAGAGAGTTTTAACAGGTGAACACAGGATAGGAGGCAAAAGCATGTGGAGTGAGGGATGGAGGAGGGAGGGATTCTGTTCAAAGGCCAACAGCAAAGAAGGCAAAGGTAGCTAAAATAAACAGATGGGATAGACAGAGAGGAACATAGTATTGGACTGTGTAACAAATAACAGAGGGTCTCAAGAAGAAGAATCTAAGAAGAGAGAGAGGGTATGTCTAGACTGCATCTCTCAGCAGAGGGATGCAGATCGACATTGCAAATGAGATTTAAATATCCTGCGCCTAATTTGCATAAAAATGGCCACCGCATTTTGCCGACTCAGCACTTTGTCGGCAAAAAAGTGGCAGTCTAGAGGGGTATCTGTCGAGAAAGAAAGCCTTTTTCGACAGATCCTGTAAACCTCCTTGCAGGAGGCATAATCAGCCTAATCTGTATCCCTCTGTCGACAGAGGGATGCAGTCTAGACATACCCAGAGAAAGCAAAAAATATGAAGGAAAGGGTCACTCAAGGAAGTGCATCTGGATAAATGCTGAAGCATTGAGGAGCATGATGGGATCATACACACAAAGAATTCCCACATTATGGTATTAGTTCCAAAGTGGGGAAGAAAAAAACCCACCCTTGCTGACCAACAGGGAAATAAATTGTTCATAGGAAAGCAGAAAACATTTGAGAGGGCCTGGGTGAAGTGAAAACTAACCATATATGTAAAGAAACGCTCAAATGTAAGGAAGAGAGGAGAGTCCTGGATGTGCTATATGTGATGGGTTGAATCACAGGGGTCCCATTGAGATTGTCACCCTGTGTGCTGGTCACATCACTCAGGTCACCAACCCTGCACTTTGGGGTGCCACACCACCCTGTCCTGCTGGGCCAGAATCTCTGGTCTCCCTCAGCCAAGGCACAGAGTTGGGGCAATAACCTCCCAGCAGAGCAACCAGCTCAGCTCTGGAGGGGCTCAGCTATAAGACCATTGACACCACCCAGGAACTCAGCCCCCCAAAAGGAACAAAACCCTAAATAAAGCTGTCTTCCTTGGTATAAAAGTTTTACACAGAGAGAACTTATAAGTTTGCCCTCAATGAAAAAGAGATATGCACAGTGGTTACACTGGTCTTGATAATAAACAAAAGTGTTTTATAAGTATAAAAAGTAGGATTTAAGTGATTGCAAGTGAAAACAGACAAAATAAGTTGCTACACCAAAATAAACAAAACATGTCAGCTAATTCTAATACACTGAGAAACTTGTTACATGCAAAATATATTCCTCGCCCTCATCCCTGTTTCTGGTAAAATGCTTCAAGGCAGAGTTGATTTGTTTTTCTCTTTGGCCTGTGGCTACAGCAGTCTGTGTCTTTAGAGTTCTTCATTTTCAGGTTTCTTTATGTGTAGCCTCTTCAAGTAGGAAGGCAATTTCAAAAGCCAGATGAGTACAAAAGTCTGATTGCTTTCCATTCCTTAAATAGACTTTCCCCGGGGTGGGAACTCTTTGTTTAGTGTCCCCATCCCCATGGAAAAATACCAGATTCAAGATGGATTCCAATATTAGGTGGCATAGTCACATATCTTTCTAGGATCAATCACAGTTTGGTCTTACAGGAAAAACAAAACTATTTACAGGTTGTTAACTTGACCACTGAGGCATTAAGTTCCTAAAGTATCACTAATGGCTTTTACTAGACTATAGTTCCCACTTAATATTTTTAACTTCACATCCAAGAAAGATGCATGCACAGAAATAGATACACAGATTCAGCAGATTACAGTTTTTAAAATGACATGTGACATGACCTGTTTTGCATAAAGGATCTTTCAGTTATGCATATTCACATTCATAAACCAATTTTCATTAAGGATAGGGAGGCAGTGGCACTACAGCTGTGACTGTCTTGTTATGGAAATAAGGGGATGATCATAGAATTTAAATATGTGCACAGTGGTAACATTTGTAAGAGGGGAGAGATCAGCTGCCCAAACATAAACTGGAGCACAGAAATTGGAGGAAATAAGTTGAGCAGTAAAATTACAGCTATGGCACTAGATTTCTTCTTTTATATAATAAAGAATGAAAACAAGTGGAGATGTCAGAAGCGAAGGCATATGTAGGCCACAATAACCATTATCTCCTTAGTCAAACTAGGAACGCAGTTCTAAAGAGTACGGTCTTGCAAGTTCTCCAAGTGCCTGCCTCCCATTGATTTCAATGAGATCTCAAAGCACAGAAGGTTTAGGGGATTGGGTCCAACTATTCACAGTATATAGAAAAGGTAAGTTCCTTCAAAGAACAGAGTACATTCTTAGAGGTCAAAATAAGGACTATGAATTTTGGCAGTACAAATTTAGAACAACTACTTGGAGCAGGTAAGATGTAATGAAGGAGGAGAATGAATAAGGAGACAGTGAAAGTGAAAAATGTGCAAATATTCAACTGCTAATGTTTCCCCAAAATTGTAATATGTGCTGAATAGTGGTAAATAAAGAACGAATAAAATAAGAGTGGTTAAAACTATAAAGTCCTAGTGCAATGTACCTCCAAATAGCGTAAAATATAATTATCTCTGGCTTTTCCTCAGGCAAGACAGCAAGCCCAAATACGACATCAAATGGCAGAAGACAGCAAAGCAGAATACTCATCCAGTCTTCAGAAATTTAACCACGAGCAACATGAACATTATCACACACACATACCAAACATTTTCCAGGTGAGATCTTACAGTACTGACTTACAGCAGTCTATGTTCTTGGAGTGGCTACATTGACTAGATACAGTGCAATGCATTGGTAAGCAGCTGAATTCTGTGACACCAGTTCTTTGCTCTGCAATACCAGTTCAATTCTGTGATGCTACTGTTGTGGTAACAGATACTGGACGCAATGCAGCAACCCAGGATTTATAAAAGAAATAGTTGCTCTCTTTGGTGGGAGCAACAGTGCCCATGACTCCAAAGAGATGTTATGGTGCTCAGTCCATTAAACTCTCTTATCTCTGGGCTAGCTACCAGACTGATTAATAATGTTGGAAGTGGGCGTTTGCTAGCTGGCATGGCAGGAAGGGGCAAGCCTCATGACATTACTCAGACTCTGGTTCTGTTACTCTCTACATCCATGCAGCTGGGGAATGAGAGTACTGTTTTCATTGTCGGGGCAGGAATAAATGGACAGTGTTATCCTCTATAAATCCTCGTGCTCCTGTGTGACCTGTTTTCAAACGTACGTTTCAAAGATGTTTAGATTTATACCACATTAATGTTGAGCAACAAAGGACAGTGCCATGGCCAGTCAAGGACCAGAGTTATGGGGTGGCTTCACTGAATTCAACAGAAGCTTTGACTTCAGTGCGGTCAGGCTTTCATGGTAGGTCTTGAGCTGCTGTGCCAGAAGGAGGCATCTTGTAGCATTGTTCATGCCTCTCTCTTGTAGATGAGAACTGTTAGAAACTATGACCAGTCCTTTGCTGGAGGGAAGGTTTCTATACTGGCAGCCTATTAGGAAGAGTGTAATCATAGGGTGTGCAAAGGGAGGTGGGATGAATTCTCACCAACAGAAAATCACTCCCTCTGCAGGTCCTTTCTGAGTTCCAACAAACAGAGGGTTAACCCTTGGCCCAGCCCTCACACAGGTGTAAAGGGTGGAGTAACAAGCCAATCAGTGTCCCAGTAGGAACATAAGCCAAGATAGAGACATACTCCAGGGTAGGGAATGGGATCTTTATCTGCCCTGGCGGACTGTTGTGAAGCTTGCTGCTTAATGCATGGCAAGGAGGCAAATTTTTACAGTGTGATTAAATTTACAAAAAATTTCAGTTGATGGCTAAGGAAGACAGTACAGAGGGAAAACTCATGTACTAAAATATCCTCAGCAGTGAGGACTGATAACATAAAAGTCAGCAGAGTTATGCCTATTTATACAAGCTGAAAATCTTGGTTGAAATGTCTGAACAGAGGTTGACTAATGCAATGGACTGAGTGTTTTAAATGACTATTCCATTGTAATTGTACTACAGGTTGGACCTCCCAAAACTGGGATGCTCTGGTCCAGCAACATGCATGGTCTGGCAGGATCATGGATATTCCTGGGCCAAGGAGTCCTGGCTGGGAAGCCCCAGTGGCAAGAGGGCTGCTGGCTTGGAGCCTGGCAGGGCTGGGGCTTGAACCAGGGCTAGAGCCCTGGTAGTGTAGCTAGTGCTTCAGCAGCTCTGGTAGCGGGCCTGGCGATCTGGCAGCTGCAGCTGCCCTGGTAGTGGGGCTGGGGCCACAGCAGCCATGGCAACCCAGGTAGCTGGGCAGGGGTCTGAGATGTGGCAGCCGCGACATCCCTGGTAGCGGGGCCAGGGACGTGGCAGCCTGGGTTCCCAGGGCCACAGCAGCTTGGTGGATAGGTGGCTGGGGTCGACAGTGGAAAGGGATGGTGGGCTGAGGGGCTGGTAGCAGGGGACCTCCCCTGGTCCAGCAAATTCCCTTGTTCGGGACTGTGATGGATAGGAAAAGTACTGGCCTTTTCTGAACATCCCAGCATCCAGTAACCAAAGGGTTAAACTCAGGAGGTGTTGGCAAGGAGCCAGGAGAGCCAATGTGGGAAGATGTTGACATTTGAAATGAAGGGAATACCTGCCTGCTGTTCTTCTTTGTGTGACTTTTAAGCTAGGAGTTGGGGGAACAAGATGAATTGAATCGGGCAGAACTACCATGCCTACAAAGAATACTAGGCATGGAAATGGACTGGACCTTGAATCATGGATTATGAGTAGATAGGGAAATGTCTATTTAGACACGATCAGGTTATTTTCTTTGTTTTGTCATTTGGTTAAACTTCTCTATGCTAAATCCATACGCTACCTTCCCCATCACGCTGTACTGTAAGCTGTATCCCAGGTATGACATTTCTCTATGTTTCTAGATTGTTCTTTTCTCAGTTGCTTTAAAATACCTAGTAACTAAGTATGCATTATCAAATATATCTTTTTGTTTTCTTAATAAAATCACCTTTTTTTAAGGTGATAGAAGGTCTGTGTATCCATGCCTAAGACTGGGTGGTCAGCTATGAGATATTGCGGTTTGTTTTCTCTTTTTTTTCAAGCTCTCTTATGGTAAAAGAGCTTGGGCTATCCCTCTGGAAGCAGTCCTCAAGTGCTTTCTTCTGGGGTTCAAGAAGAAAAGGCATTTTTCTCACTTGAGTGGTGGCAGCTATCACCCAAGGCCAGGAAATCTGTGATCTTGGGAAGGTTTTATGCAGAAGCCTATAGAGGCAAAGTATTCTTAAGGTCTCTTGAAAGTCCCTACATGCTGCACTCAGAGTGTGTGTGTGGAGAACAGCCTTGACAGGAACTGTTCAGTCCTGAGGATGCGGACCAGAGAGGTCCAACCTGTATAAATAGAAGGTGTGGACAGGAAAAATGTAGCTGTTCAAAACTGAAATATGTTTATATTTACAAGCTCTTCAGAAGTTATTAGGATTTGTGCAGGAAGCAGGCATGTTCTCATTTATAATTTGAAGTTTTCAGTTAAAATTGCTGCCCTCTTCCTTCATGGTCCTTTAAGCCAATGGCTGGGATAAATTATTCCAAGATACCTTGTGTTATAAATGAAAATGGCATCCCTAGGCCTTGTATAAATGTCCTCTTAGGTCTTTAGAGAACATAAACTTTGGATCTGGTAAGTGCATTGAATTGAACATATATCCTTGGCTAATCACAGTTTACGTGCCCATGCGTTATCAGTGCTCCAGAAAATTCCCATGCTATGTGTTAAAATAGCATTCAAGCATTCAGAGAGCTGTTCTATTTTTAAAAGAATATCAGTGTGTTCTTTCCTGTGATTGTTTTATTTTTTCTGTTGATTCATAAATTTAATAGGAAAAAATGCATATGGGAGAGGTGGGTTCTTATCAGTTAGTGCTCTATCAAGTCTTATGTTGCAACATGAGATATGCACCTGGACACACCCTGTGCCTCCTATTATAATCCGTAAAAACAAAAATATGCAACAAAGTTTTCCCGTGACCTAAATCAGAGATCAGAGGAACAGATATCGAAGTTCTGTAAAATATTGAACATATTCTGGTTTTTCTTCTGATTTTTCCTCAGGCTAAGACAGAGGCTTTGCATAGCGCTCAGTAGGACGCCTCTGATGTGAAGACCTGATGTAAATCCTATAACATAATGTGGAGTTTACTCTGAGGCCATTCTTTGATCTCTGATATCACTATGAACCATACAGTACATGAGAATAATCATCTTAATTTCTCTGCGTTTGAAGTCTTATTTATACAATATAACAGAAGCTGTTTTGTTGCAGAAATTAACATTAATAGAAACTGTGAAATAATTTTTTATGTTTGATCAAAATTAAATGTTTCAGAAAATACAAGAGATGGAAGAAAGGAGGATAGTGAGGATAGGTGAATGCATGAAAACGTATGCAGAAGTGGACCGCCAGGTGATCCCCATAATCGGGAAGTGTCTGGATGGAATAACAAAAGCAGCAGAATCAATTGATCAGAAAAATGTAAGTGTTGCATGTTCTATCTTCTTATTTGTCCTGTGTTTTTCATTATTTATTAGTTGTATATTAAAACCTAGAAGTGCGAGTCAGGAACTAGAATCCTACTGTGGTAGGCACTGTATGAACACAGAATATAAAGATGGTCCCTGCCACAAATTGCTTACAATCTGCTACATTGTTAAGAAAGCATTTGAAACACAAAACTTGCACCCAAACCAGTTGGTGCATAGAAGAGGCGTTTCTCTGTGTCAGTGTTTCTCCAAGTGGTCTGTGAAACCACTTTAAGAAACCTGTTAACTAGCCGCTCCAGTGTGTTTACCTTACCGGCGCTGTGGCCATGGAGCCTCGTGGCTCCATTTTGCTGTTTGTAGCCAAGGAGTGCCGTGGGACGTGGTGTGGAGTAGCCAGTTAACAGGAGCAGCCAGTTAACAGATTTCTCAAAGGGGTTTCATGCTCCACTTTGAGAAACACTATTCTATCAGGTGTTAACTAATGATAGGTAGCTCTAGTGCATGTTTTATTTTATGAAAGATAGTTGCTTTGTCTTGTTACAGAGAAGAATCTGTTCTTCTTGCAGATGTATTTGTTTAGCAATCCATAGGGTCCTTTGTCTTGTAAGAAGGAAAAGTTTCTTTAATAAAGTTTACTCCATTAACATGCATTTTATACATAAATGTTTTGTTCGGCTATATTTAAATAAGATGTTTTTTAAAGGTATGACTGTTAGGGCTGGTGTCAGCAAAGTCATCTTTTGTTAGCAAAAGAGAGGAGGTGCACACACTGAAATGTTCTTCTCACCGATATAACTCTGTTGCTACACCACCTCAATAAAAGGCATAGAACTTTTTGGAACATAATTAAAGTGATGCAGCATCAGTGTAGACAGCACTTGCTCTAATTGTCCTCCAAGAGATGTCCCACAACGCTCATCATGACTGCTCTGGTTAGCAGTTTGAACTTTGCTGACCTGCAGGTGCAGGCATGTGGCACTCACCCATTTAAATGTTGGGAATTTTTAAACTTTTCACTTCCTGTGTGGATGGCATAGACTATTACGCAGCATCTTCCCAAGTGACCATGCTGACTTTCTGCAACAAATGGGCTCCCACATGGAGTTTGGCAGAGCTGTTGGATCTGCTGGGTCTATGGGGAGAGGAGGCTTTGCAGGTACAGCTTCGCTGAAGTTGTAGAAAATTAGCTATTCATGGGTATATTGCTCGTGACATGGAGGACGGGGACACAAAAGGGGCAGGCAGCAGTGCTGTGCTAAGGTCAAGGAACTGTGGTAGGCATACCAAAAGGTAAGGGAGAGGGAGGCTTTTGTTGTTTTGGTGCAGCACCAAAGGCATGCTGCTTCTTCAAGGAGCTACATGCCATCCTTCATGGTGTTGCCATTGCCAAGAGCACTGTGGATACTTCAGGGAGACTGGAAGCAGTGACCAGTGAGTTTAACCCTGAGGACAAAGTGGTGAATGAGGAAGTGGAATTGGAGGAGCAGGTGAGACTTGAAACAGAACTGTCCAGTGGCATGGCAAGCCAGAACCTGTTTTTGACTCTGAAGGGATTTTGCCAGACCTAGGCTCTGGCTCACATAAAAAAAGTGAGGCAAGCATGCATTTTGCTTTGATACTGCATAGTGATAGGAGACTGAGGTCTTATATACTTTAGTAGATGCTAGAGGAGGGATAAAGGATAGAAATTAACAATAAAGCCTATGCAGCAGTGCATTGGGGGTCCTAAGGAAAAGTTTATTTATGTACTTTGGGATGTCATGGAAATCTTCCATAGGAAACTTTTGCGTGGTACCCTGCAATCCTCTGCCAAAGGTTCATTGGTAGAGCTGCCTTCTGTCTCTCTGTTGTAGAAAATTTTGCTTGGTCAAATGGCAGTTATTTCTGCAGGAACCAGTATACACAGGTGAGTAACATACAGCCCTGGTGTGAAATTGTTCATATGCAGGCGATGGACCCTTCAATTATGGGTTACCCTCAGGAGTGACATATCAGGTTCAATTACCCAAATCTGTCCAAAAAGATGGCAGTATTCCAAATAGTCTCCCTAAGCACATATAGGCTACGTCTGCACCACGGAACTATTTCAGCATCCTAAAACAGCTATTCCGCGTCTTTAAAGCAGCATGTTATTTAAAAATATATTTCAAAATAGTGGGCGCGCTATTTCGGTGTCTCTGTAACCCTCGTTCCACAAGGGTTAAGGGATGTTTTGCAATAGTGCTTTATTTTGAAATTACCTCAAAATAAGCTATGCAATTTGTGCAGCTCAAATTGCATAGCTTATTTCAAGCTAACGGTGCAGTGTAGACATACCCATAGTCAGGGCTCGCCGAACCACAGCGAGCCCCGCTCGCCAGCCGCGCTGTCCAGCAATCTGCGTATGCACAGATCGTTCTGCGCATGCGCAGATCGCCCGAACCCGGCTCTTCCAAGTTGCAGTCTACTCGCCACAGGCAAGTAGATTGCATTATTTGTTGAGCCCTGCCCATAGTGACCCTCTTCATAAAACACCCCGTTAATGAAAACCTCAGGTTGGATAGCCTGGAAAGGACACAGGTCAGGAGTGGATGATAGATGAACAAGAGTGAATGATAAAGCTGCTGGAGGGCCAGGCAGAGAGACTCAGGTCCCTCATGGCCCTGCAGTCTGAGGTACAACCAGGAATGACTCTCCCTACAGCTAATATAGAGTGCCATCCATGCCCTCCTCAAACTCCCTCAATGCATTCCTTGCATATTCCCATTCTGTTTCAGAACCACTTGCTCTCCACCCCTAGAGTCTTGTTTCATGTTGAAAGCTGGAGTTACACACAATTGGAGAGTCTTGACTGAAAAACTGTTCCTCATTACCATGTCCCCTGTCTTATCCTTTAATTAAAGTGTAGCCTTTGAAACAAAATAAGTTTTTATTTATATCACGCACACATAGGAACATTTACTCAATACAATTAAACCTCAGGAAACAAGTATTATAGGATATCAGAGGGGTAGCCATGTTAGGCTGAATCTGCAAAAGCAACGAGGAATCCTGTGGCACCCTAGACTAACAGGAGCATAAGCTTTCGTGGGCAAAGACCCACTTTGTAAGATGCATCTGATGAAGTGGGTCTTTGTGCACGAAAGCTTATGCTCCAATAAATCTGTTAAGCATTATAGGGGTCATTCAAGGCAGCAAGAAAATATTGCCTGGCCAAGTTCATCAGATTACTGACACATTACTGGGCCTCATTGTCAAAATGCTCCTTCAAAACCTCCCTGATTAGAATAGTACCCTTCCCTTTGGACCCCTCTAATTGCCCTGATAATGGGCTTCTGAAAAGCTGATCCACCCCAGCACTCCACCCCTGGGGAAACTTTTTTCCTTTCAGTTCACAAATGTTATGCAGAGTATAGCAGGATGCTATGACCCTTGGAATAATGTCTTCATTGTAGTCTAACCTTCAAAAAGGCAGCACCAGTGATTTTTCAACGGCATTTTCAGCAGTCATTTGGCACTTGCTGAGCCTGTTGAAGTGCTCCTTGCTGCTGTCTAGGCACCCCATGTAAGGCTTCATGAGCCACAGGAGCAAGAGATTGGCAAAGTGGACATTTGCACATCCACTATTGGAATCTTCTGGTCTGGAAAGAAGATCACATAATACAGTTTTCTATTCAGTCCAGTGCAGTGTTCCCAGCGCATCATGATCTTTCCTTGACCAACCCACATTGATGCCAGTGAATGAGCCCCAGTGATCCTACAAGACTGTGGAGAAGTAGCTCTTTCAATTGATATACTCCATTCCAAGATGGTCTGGGGCCAAAACTGGGTTATGTGTGTCATCTTTAATCCTGCTGCCGGGAGGGAATCCCATTGCTACAAAGCTATCATGTATTTCCCGCACAGTACCCAGAGCTGCAGTCCTTTGTGGCAGGAGCCAATTAACAGGCCTGCACACAGTCCGTGGTATAAAAAAGATTGGGAACCACTTCCATAGGGCAGGAACGATCCCTACACACAGTTCCAGGAAGGTAGCTTTACACATGAAAGTTCTGCAGCCACTGCTCATCATCCCATACATACACCATGATTCAATATCATTACTTAGTGCTTGCTTTCCAAGCCCAGTACCAATGGCTCACATTTTGATTTTTTTTCTTTTGTTCAACATTATATGAAATATTTCAAGCTTTATGGCTTGGTTGAAAATGTGGCATAATAAAATATCTAAATGTGTCTGATTTTTGTTTAATTAGAAAAATACCGAGCCGGGTTCGGGTGATCTGCGTCACCGGACAGCACGGCTGGCGAGCGGGGCTTGCCGCGGTTCAGTGAGCCCTGCTGATGAGATTCAACAAGGAAAAGTGCAGAGTCCTGCACTTGGGATGGAAGAATCCCAAGCATTGTTACAGGCTGGGGACCGAATGGCTAAGTAGTAGGTCTGCAGAAAAGGACCTGGGGTTACAATGAATGAGAAGCAGGATATGAGTCAGCAGAGTACCCTTGTAGCCAAGAAGGCTAATGGCATATACTAGGCTGCATTAGGAGGAGCACTGCCAGCAGATCTAGAGAAATGATTGTTCCCCTTTATTCGGCACTGGTGAGGCCACATCTGGAGTATTGTGTCTAGTTCTGGGCCCCCCACTACAGAAAGGATGTGGACGCATTGGAGAGGGTCCAGCAGAGGGCAAAAAAAAGGAATAGGGGGCTGGAGCACATGACCTATGAGAAGAGACTGAGGGATCTGGGCTTGTTTAGTCTGCAGAAGAGAAGAGTGAGGGGGATTTGATAGCAGCCTTTAACTTCCTGAAGGGAGGTTCCAAAGAGGCTAGAGAAAGGCTGTTCACAGTAGTGACGGATGGCAGAACAAGGAGCAATGGGGGAGGTCTAGGTTGGATATTAGGAAAAACTATTACACTAGGAGAGTGGTGAAGTACAGGAATGTGTTACCTAGGGAGGTGGTGGAATCTCCGTCTCTAGAGATTTTTAAGTCTTGGCTTGACAAAGCCCTAG